CGTTTGATGTTCATGTACCCATAAAGTGATAGTATCTTAGCTCATTTATAAGCTTATAAACATTCACTTTTAAAAATATTTTCTACAAGTAAAAGTTTTAATTAGGTCCATGAGTCCCCAAAGACGTGGTATTGCAGAAAGTTCTGATTATATTGACGATTAAGATGCAGACCCGTCTTTCCAACCTGGTGGTTTCTGTGTCATGTAAGAAGGACATATTTGCAGCTTGTTGAAGGTGTGTATTGCTCCTGTGCTATACATACAGTCACTTTGTGGAAGAAACGGGCTCATGGTAGTCTTTAAAAAAAGCCACATAGCATCATGAGTAGAATACGGATAAAACCAGAAGAGAAACTCGGTCGTCGTTGGATATTGTACTCAACCTGAAAATTTCATGACAGAAGGTGCTGTCAAAGAAGTGACTGCTCAGAAAGGTCCACAGTCCAATAAGTATAAAGAAGCTTACCATAAAGGACATCTTGGAGAGGAGTTCCTTAGCCCTATAACGGCAACACATTTCGGCGCCCACAGGATTTGAGACAGGTATGAATTTGAAAGCTATGAGAAATATGGTCGAAGCTATCATACTATTGCGAATGAAACACACGAGGAAATGTTCCAGCAATATTACAGACTTGAAGACCATTTATCTATAACGTGAGTTTGTTGTTGGTCACATTGACTGCTCTGAATCTATGAAAGGGACGAGCTGTTCTCTCGGACAGAAGACCAATACATATTACTTGACTGTCGATGAGTACCGCCATCTGTAACACAATATCAGCTGAAACTATTGAAGTAGAAAAAAAGAGGATGATGATGCCCAGCAACTGTCAAAGAAAGAGATGAAAAACTTCCCACCCTTATTAATGCTCATATTGCGAGGTTCCCCGCTGTTGACTCACATCACTGCTGTAGGTCAGTTTCGAGTTAAAAGGACTAGCTCTCAAACCTGAACTGAAGAGGAGACAAAACAAAGGCTGAACAATCGCATCCACGGAAAAGCCAAAGTGAGAAAACTTAAAGAAGATAGATGCTTTCAGCTGCAATATAATCACAAACTGAAGTGATATTATGGAACAGACTCAACAGAGACTATTCAATAACTATTTATTTCCTATAAACCCACAGTACCAGTGATCTTTAAGCCCCAGAAAAATCAAGTCAAAGACGTTCCATTGAACAGCCTAAAAACTCCCTATAGCCAAGTATACTTTTCATCAGACTGGAGGAACACACATTGTTCTTCTAACTCCCCCACATTTATCTTATGACAGGTTACCACTTGCACTGTGTTTTCGCGTTGAAGTGCCTTTCCAGATCATTTTAATCTTTCTTAACAAACTTTATTTCATTATATTTCATTGATAAACAAAGTATTATGGGCTAAAACGTTTATAAAGTATTACACAAATTCATTACACATGCTCAGAATTTATCTTTCTACTAATATTGTTGTTGTCTAAGGATGGTGCGCAGTTCTGAATGAAATTTTATACTCATTGTATTGTGCAAATTCTTATAATACCTTGAAGACAAGTAAGAAAGCTTAACTCTTTAAGTTATTTACATTTCATATAGTGGAGACCCCAAATCTGTTTCATTTTCTTTTTCTTGTCGTTTTTCACTCCCCAAAATAGATCACTTTGGCATATTGAGTTGATAAACCTGTTCAATAATCAAGAAAAAAATCCCTTTCCTCTATTACCAAACGATGTGGCGTATTGTCAATCTTGTGTCTTTACGGACATAATTATGTTCTCACAAACAGGCGTATATGCTATTGTAGACCATTTCTTAAAAAACTGATGATGCAATACCTATAACCATTATAGGGAATGATAAATCTGTGGTTGTACTAATATCTCGCCAAAATTTAAGCGAAAAAACAAACGGTTACGCCACAGCAAGAACTTAAAAAGTGTCCAAAACTTTAAAACGCTCTCCTGAAAAATGCCAAAAATGCACTTACGCCCTTTTGTGAGATGGAAGACGAATTGTTTCAAGGGCAGAATATTTTAGTGACACAGGAAATGTGTTTTTATTGCTCTTGTCCAAAAGTGTTTTCCTAATTTCTGGCTTTGCTATGGTGAGATGTGGTGGGAGAGTTGAGGAAACTCTTTCCAGAGGCTCTCGTCTTTCAGGGAGGTAATGATTTTCTTGGAGATTGAGGACAGTGTCAAGTACAGATTTTGTATTTTTTAGTCTTTGATTAGGTTTCCACTTGTCAACAAGAATTTTATTTGGGTGGTTATTTTTTAGCCTTTTAGATCTTTCATAAACTTCTTAAGCTGCCTGTTTTCTTTGAGTTTCTAAAAGCTCAATATTTGTGTGGACTTCTCAGGCCGCAGTCGGTGAGGATCTCATTCCGCCAGAGATAAGACGAGGAGCTGGGTTTTGAACGGTGTCCATCGAGTTCTTTGTAGTTTTACTGCAGCTCAGATACGAGAATATAATACAGAGTGACTATTTCTCAGAACATTCAGGAAAATAAACTGATCTCTATTGCTCTGAACCGTTTCCGTTCTCGAGATTTTTTGATTAATTGTGAGATTTAAGCATCACCTTTCATTGTGCCATTCTGCGACGACTGGGAAGAAGCATTTGTTTTTAGCATCAAATTCAATTTATAGACCTAAAGATTTATACTTCAGCTGTGGTTGGGGCAATGTTCCCGGACTATACTTCATTTGAAAATGCCTTCAAAAGGTACTGCGAGAAAACAAGACTGCTTGACCTTGGCCGTAACCTATTTTGCATTTATTCAACCCTAAAGCAAAAGGTTGCAGCTCTTCGGACTCGAGTCTGAACAGCCTCCCATGGCTATTCGGACTCAAACTCCAATGCATGTGCACAATCACCAGGTGTACTGGGTGTGAGGCAATTCGACCTTGGCCTTCCTCGGTTTCTACGATCTGACCAAATTTTTCGACACAAATTAAGAAAAGTATTAATGACGTCAAAAGTGAACAACAGTTGCAAAATCTGAAATGCTACACGACAAAGGCAAACAGGGGAAGGGAAATCTGAGCTCAAAGCAGTTTAGTAGGAAAAAATTGAAAATCAAAGTTTCAGAACAACAAAGGATTATAACTGTCAATATATAATAACTATCACTTGGTGGTCTAAACCCGCTTTATTTAACTCGAAAGACAAAATCATTGATCATTTAGAAGTAAAGTTTGAAATTAAGAAGAGAAAAAAGTTAAAACCCTTCCAAAGGGAACAAAAGTCAGTTATTCAAAGTAATAGTGGTCTAAAGGAAAAGCTTTTCTACAGCAGGATAAACAGTACACATTATTCTGATAGTGTTAGACCAGCAACAATCCTTCTACTGTTTCTACAGTATTGTGGTTTGAGTCCGAATAGCCACGGGAGGCTTTTCAGAATCGAGGAGTCCTTCTCATGTCTCATGTGCATGTAAACAAAACAAAAATACCCCCCCCCCCCTCGTTCCCCACGTATACACACACACACACACACACACAAAAGCGCACACGCTGGGGCCACTCCATTCGCATTATTATCAACAAATCTGGAGAACGGAAACCGTTCGGAGAAATAGAGTTCAAGTTTATTTTCCCGAGCATTCAGAGAAATAGAGCCGGCCTAATATAATGGTAATATGGTAGATCTAGATTATTAGATATAGATCTAGATCTATTCTATTCTAGAATAGATCTAAATCTAGATCCTCTAAGTTTCATTTTCTTCAGAAACTCTGGGAAACGGTTGTTTTTTACTTTCCCTCCCCTGTCTCACACTTAGCTACCAGTAGTACATTTTTTACTAAACATTGATGCGCTGAACACAAATCAAGTTTATTTCTGTTGCAAGTTAATAGTTTTTGAAATATCTGATTTTTCTTAATCGAGATAGACATGCTTTGGACCAATGGGAGGTTTCCAGAGGGCAGGCCCCCTGAGTAAAAGAAAATCTGGGGGGTTCCACTGGGCATGTCCCCCCTGTTTTAACCCATAATTTGATATTTTACAGAAATATTTGAAATTTTCTTGAAAATAATTGGTTTGCGACAATTTCCAAGCCTTCTTTAGAAGGCGCTTTTTCGGTAGTTCCCACCCGCAATTGTTATTCGCCGGTTTTGGCCTCAAGAGTAGGGGGGTTTCAGTGTGGCTTGCCCCCCCTGACCTCCTAATAAAAACATGGAGGGGGGTTTCAGGGGTTTTGCAGTTGTTAGGTTTGATATCTCAGCTCACCGCGCATCAAATGTATAGATCTCGATGTAGATTCTAGGTCAGGCTCAAATGAGGGGGGTGGGAACTACCGAAAAAGCACGTCTGCCTTTATGTGTTATATGTGCAGCAAACAGTACTGCAGTGTCTGCAGTTTGACTGGTGCTTTTTCGGTAGTTCCCACCCCCCTTATTTGAGCCTGACCTACTTCTAGATCTAGATCTAGATCTATACGTTTGATTCGCGGTGAGCTAAGATCAAACCTAACAACAGCAAAACATTAAATTGTGGTAAAATTCAGGGGGGCATGCCCCCCCTGAAACTCCCCTTCCTATTTTTTTTTAGGTCAGGGGGGCAAGCCCCCCTGAAACCCCCTACTCTTGGGGCTAAAACCCATGAATAACAATTGCGGGGTGGGAACTACCGAAAAAGCGCCGTTTGACCCCCCAAGCAGAGCATCTGTGTGACGTGTGCAGGAGTGAAAGTAAAAATTTACCAGGGAAACCTCCAACATAAATGACAAAGAATTAGAAAATCTAGATCTAGATTCTAATCCATAAAGAACATAGCCTAGATCTAGAATCTAGATCTAGAATCTAGAGATCTAATTGGTGGCAGATTCTCTACTCTACACTCTACACTACAGTAGTGACACGGTCCACACAGTACTGACTGTCAGTACTGTACAGTACAGATTCAATTACAGAACACTTGTACGTTCTAGAGATCTATCTTTCCTGGACGGTTTTGTAACATACTTTGATATTATCGCCCATTCACCCAACAAGATTCACCAAAGCCACTTACAGAGTACACCTGCTGCTGTCACACGACATTAGCTACACACATTAGTCATTAGTGACATGATACGACTTCTGCATGGACAGGAGATCGAGACCATTCGTCGTTATTGTTGTGCTGGCTAATAGGCCTACTGCTGGCAAATGAACACACAATAGTCCAGATTTTTGGAGATCTTTGATAAAAGTTTTTACAAGTCTCAACTTGTGTGAATGAGTTTATAATACTTCTCAAGAAATAAAAGTAGATGCAGATCTAGATCTATAGGCCTGCTAATTATCAAAAAGAGATGGTCTTATAGAATTATAAATGGCTAACAAATCAGTTTCTCTTAAATGAGAAGTTATAGGCAGAATTGCTCTTGTAGCCTAGCCTTATGGCATACAGTTGCACTGTGCGTGCAAGAAGAACAAAAACCAGCCACAAATGACAAATTAATATATACATGCCAGGCAAAACACTAAACTTTGCCAGAATAGAATGCTATTTTATTGGTGTTGTTATGGGAGAGAAGTAGGTACATTATTCTCTTGAGCAGAATTTATTATAAGTTTGATTAAGCTTTTGGTCAATTTCATATCAGGCTATGATACTCTGAGAATAGACTAACAAACTTAGAATACACACCTGAAAATAACCCGGATTCATCACTAAACATTTCAAAACAGCCGCAACGTTTAAAACCTGGCATACTGAAAACCCAAAAAGATTTTCTTGAGAATAGGCCTGGGCTAGAGGCTAGAATTTGGTGAATATTTTCCCTGTTGGCTGATGATCTTGCCTTCTCTGGACTCAAAGACTCGGGGGCTGTTGACGCTGTTGTTGTGTTTATAATGTGTGTTGAACAAGGCTTCTTGTACAAGTGAGCCAGATCTTGATCAAGAATCTAGGCTAGGCTAGTAGGAAGTGAAAGGTGCCGTTGGCTTTTGCTAGATATGTAAAGTGACTTATAAATTACTTCTAACCGCGGAAGACAGGGCTGAGCTGGGTAAAAGTATTCACAGATCAAGATTGAGATTAAAATGATCAAGTGAGAAATAACGGAGACAGTCCAAAAATAAAAATACTTTCGAAGTCGACGAAGAGTTGACTGCAAGATTCAAGCTTTTCAAGATGTGTGAGAGTTTTCGGATTTTATGTGCCCTGTGTCGAGTTGGGCTTTATGCTGTAAGTACAATGACATACGAGGGTAGATCTCCATACTCGTACGATTAACCGTTAAGTAGACATCGTTGAAGTTGTCAAATTCAGAGAATTATAGACTTCTAGATTCTAGATATCTAGATTAGATAGATCTAGATCTAGATCTACATCTAGATGTAGATATCTACTTCTAATCTAGAGATCTAACCCATAATTGCCTAAGGGTGAAAACATAGAGAACACCAATTTCGGAGACGGCGATTGTTAAGATTCCCGCGTTTAATTCCGATGTGCGTTTTTCATACCCTCAGGCATATTTCGCTTTGGTCCCTAACCCTAGGTTAGGGTTAGGGGGTTAGGGTTAGAGCTAGGGTTAGGGTTAAAAAAAGGCCTAGGTTAGGGTTAGGGGGTTAGGGCTAGGGAGAGAAGAGAAGTAGCGCAAGAACTTCCGGGCAAAACAAAACGGCGACCCGCGTAGTTCGGCTCGATTCCAAAAGTTAAATTTTATAGCCGTAGCATCTTTGTAGGCGACCAAATTAATTTACTTTTTTGTGTTTTAACATCATTTTTTATATATATTTGTTTTGTCAATGGCCACCTCTAAGTGCAGGCGGGTCTTGTGGCTATTCTCACCCGGTGCGCGTGTCAACAAATTTTGCGTTCACCCTAAACCACAGAATTCTACACTGTGATAAGAGAAAAATTGTAGAATTTTGTGCTGTGAACAAACGTTCCATTACAACTGTACTTGTAGCCTACTAAAAGCGTACAATTTTGTCTGTGGGCAGTGGAGAGAGAGAGAGAGAGAACAAAACAAAATGGCGACCCGTGTAGTTCGGCTCGATTCGAAAAGTTAAACAGCCGTAGCATCTTTGTAGACAACCAAATTAATTTACTTTTGTGTTTTAACATCATTTTTTAACTTTGTTTTGGTCAATTTGATCGTCCACACCGATAGACAGTATTCAGAAAGAGACAGAGAGAGAGAGAAGAGGGGAGGAGTAGATCTTGCGAGAACTTCCGGGCGGGTGAGAATAGCCACTTTCTTTGTCAATTTGATCATCCCCACTGATAAACTGTATTCAGAAAGAGAGTGCAAGAGAGAGAGAGAAGACAAGAGTAGATCTTGCAAGAACTTCCGGATATAAAAAAATTATCGCGTATTTCGGCTTGATTTGAAAAGTGAAATAGCCATAGTATAGCATCTTTGTGGGAGACCAAATTAGCTTACTTTTGTGCTATTTCATTTAACGTTTTTTGTCTATTATCTGATCTTCCACACTGATAGACAGTGTATTCCGAAATTAAGAAAAACAGGTCATGTTTCACACCAGGTGAGAATAGCCAAAGCTGGCAAGTCTCACCCAGGGTGAGAGGTTGATCGTATTTTTATTCTCACCCGGGGTAGCCGCTTCTAAAAAAATTCCCTTATAATGATTTCCAACTTGCCCCACATAGAGCTGGCAGACTGAGATGGCTTAAAAGCACTCGGCGTTGTCGGCTTTATCGGAATCCAAACTACATTCTTATTGCGCCGAAAAACTGGGAAGGGCGCCTGGCTGTCAACTCACGACCCCAGTGCTTTCTTGTCTTATCTCCATTTTTTAACAGTAAAAATGTGGCTTCTTCTTAAGCTCACTCTTTGTATACTGTTTTCACTGATTATAATGGAGAATACAAAAATAAGAAAGCGCTGAGGTCCCGAACTCTCAATGCCGTCTCGCCGTCGCCATCTCGGGTTCGGCGGTTTGCGTGATGTCACCCAACTGGACTGGTGACAATTTTAAATGGTCATTTCAGAGCTGCTGCTTCACGCAGACAAAAACTTTTTTAAATCAGCGTCGTCAAATTAGAGTGGTCACAGAGCAGAATAACATTTTTTACAAAAAAGCATTTTAGGAAATTCGTTTTTTTTTTCCCCAAATAAAATGTTTTATAAATACCAGCTGTGTTGTGGTGTAATTTTTTTCCTAGATCTAGATCTAGGCGTTAAGCGCCCTCTATGTCGAGTCAAGCAGACACCGCCTGTCAGAGTCGATTTTCCGCCGCTTAATAAAAGTTTCGGCGTTCTCTTTGTTTTCGCCCTTACTCTAACCCTAACTCTTGTTTCGTTTGCTCACTTGGACCTTGTGAGTCTGTGTCACTGTAAGTGCGGGTCTCTGCGGAACTCCTCTCCCATGAAAAAAATACGTGCACAGCAGTTTATGAATTTGTTTGTCTTTTAAGTTTTAAATCATATTTGTCCTCAACAATTGAGGCTATATTTAAAAACTTTTCGTCATTTTATAAATTTAATCGTCCCCGCTTGAAACTTTTCCGGAAGAAAATATTATAAACGGTATTTTTATTTTTATAGAATCACTTCCGTCTTGTGGCTGCTATCCATGCCATTTTTTTTTTCCGACGTATTATGGGCCAATAAAAATCGTATTTTAGGCATTCTTTTGAAAATATATTGTTTGTTTGTGCATGCTTTTTAATTTTGTAGTCGTTAGGGTACTTAAGGGGGTTTCAGGGGGACCCCCTGACGAGCAATTACGTCTTTGTAGTTGGGGGAGGGGAGGGAGTGCCCCCCTGGATGTGCCGTAACATCAAAACTAACCATTTTAGACTTTTTTTAATGCATCATGTTCTGGGACCCAGAAAAAACCTATAAAGCTACGAAATGACACCCTAATTTGCCTTTAGCCTTTATTTGTGAGACGAAGGTGATTCTATAAAATTGCTGAAGGACAGTAGATCCATATATTATAACCGCACTTCCAAGTAGGCCTTAGAGAGTGATTATGATCAAGGCCATGAACATACTTTAAAATTAGATCTAATTTATATCTATACTTTAGAGGTAGGACCATATATATGCATAGCCACGAGGCTCTGCATACGGGAGGGCCGTATGCATAGCCAACAAGCTAAATTTATAAAATACTATAGACTAAAATGATCTCCATCACATGGAAAATGGAATTGTTCACAACACTTCTCACACTCATTTTTTGTATACACATGACATGGCCTATGTCATAGCTCACCAATAACACCTTTACTTTTTTTTTAACTTTAGTGAAAAAATTTGGTACAAGAAATTGATTTTATTGTGAACACATTTTTTGCACTAAAGTAAAGGTTCTCAAAAATGTATTCAATAATGATAATGCCACGATTGGATAAAAAGAATGGCAGCTTTGCTTTTTATAGTGCTGATAATGCCCCAGCTGTAATTTACTATGTAAAACTTTTTAAATATGTGTAGAAACCACCACTTGGACTTTGTTATATTTAGGAATTTTCTAGAATACTTTGAACAGGTGTTTACAAAACTAAGACAAATTGATACATCATGATGTAAAGCTGGAGAGTCTATGTTCGATAGTTTAGGAAATATTTGGCAATAAATTGCGCCTCAGATTTTTAACGGCACTATAGGCCTAGCTAATGCTATTATAAATTATAAAATAATCACTGATTTCAGCTTGATTTTTTAAAACTAGAATCTTGAGCTGAGAGCCATCATGTAACGATTTGGCATTTTTAAATTTTTTTTTTTTTCATCTTTAGGAAATATTGTCATCATTTGAAGTCAAAGCTGCCTAAATCACTGTCTTATTTTCATGAAATTTCATCTACCAATACTTTTCTATTTCTATTAGACAAGAGTACGTCAGGTCTGGTTTGCAGGACCAGGTTACATGAGTGTGGTCAGAGCGTTGTCAGTTGACTTTTATATTATATGAATTTATAATACAGTAGTCTCCGCCTAAGATCCCGGTGCTCGGGAGCAAGGAAATGCGGGATCTTAGGCGAACCGGGATCTTAACCGACGAACCTAGGGAAGAATCTATGGTGACCCATGCTAAGGCTCATAATCTGTAAAAATGGTCTCCCTCCACTCTAAAATGAATTGACGTGACCGCTTAGTTGGTTTTTGACGTATGGCGAGCAAAGAGTGGTTAACCTTGATGACCTATCACAGTACATAATGGGATGAGGCGTGCCATTTTCACTTATTATCCTATCATGTCTCAAGATCTATGCTTATCCAGTTGCCCCTTCCCGTTACTTGAGTCGAAAATTATAGCCTTCCATCTCTGACCGAATCTCCCCCCACTACCTTTGTCGTAACACACCAATTAAAATTCAGTGTGTCTTGCAAATTCGGGAGTAGAGACAACTTCTGCAACGGTCAGGGAAGAGTTCACAGTTCGATGTGATTCCCGCCTGGAGCGAACATGTAGGCCCTACCCACTCAGCGAGTGATGCAAGTTTAGGGGGAGAGCTCAGGTGTGAGTGCGATGTTCGGGGAAAACAAACGTGTCGGTCAGTTCACACCCCGGTGTGATCCCATCTGGGGCAAACATTGTATCACTTCATCGAGTTTTACGTGTGTATGTGATCACATTCCCGATAGTAGCTAATCTTTGACGCTACAGACAGTTTATTGATCTCAACTTTTCACTCTTGGTTGATCGGCTGTCCCGCCCGGGTTTTTGTTCCGCAAATTATTATCTGAAATGCGGGATCTTAGCCGAATGTAGACCTTCAGAGTGAATCAGAGCGGGATCTTAGGGTTAACTTTTGTATAGTAAAATTTATGTTTTCTTACAGCAGGATCTTAAGCGAACCGGGATCGTAAGCGGTGGGATCTTAGGCGGAGATTACTGTAATAATTTAGCCTATCTGGCATGACATGTGATATGTTAATTTATAATAATAATTTAGCCTATCTGGCCTGACATGTGATATGTTGTGTAGTAAATTGAATTGCCTTTTATTGGTCTGTCAGTGACATGGTGTTCCAAGCAGTTTACCCACATTAGTTTTGCCTCAATGTACAGCAGACTTGGTTGAAGGTCACTTTTTAATAATGCAGGTGCCCCTTTGACAACGTTTTGTTGAAAAGAAACCTTCTATTCAAAGTGCAAGAGAAAAAGGGCAAGGTAAAAAGGTACTTTAAAATTAAAGTCCTTTCATTTTGATCAATGATATATTTATCCCCTTGTCTGAAGACTCAACTTTACCCTGGAAAACAAACACAATGAAATAAGCCGAGTTGAGTCGGCTGATTCAGAGTGACCTGGTAGCATCTGACAAGTCCCCCTCCCCCCTCCCCCCCCCCCCATCCCCACCCCCATTATAATGGATGCAGGTTTTCAAGCCAGATCAGAAGCAGGGACAGTTCGTTATCAGGGCAAGACTGTCAGAGCCAGCCACTTTTTGTCGACTGGACAGTGGACAAGAGATCTATTCCTCTCATACACTCATAATTATTAATAATTTCCACACCCCCCCCCCCCCCCTCGGGCTCCCTTTCCCTTTCCACTCTCTTAACTTATCCTTTTTGACGCAGTCCCTTATTTAAAACAGTGCTCTGAGAAGCTGGATGAAGATTTTTTGTATTTAGGAGGAAGGATGGACCCAATATAATATATATATATATATATATATATATATATATCACCATTCTAAATACATCATAACAAGACTGTCTAATGCAATTAAGAGGGGACAAATTACAAACCATCAAAATATCATGAATAGTCTTTTTGAGGGCCAACATTCTTTAAAATGAGGCCAAGAACAGGTCCCCCAAGCCTGTATATAGCAGAGGGGAGATGAAAATTACAACCGCCAATACATGTTAACAGTCCTTCTGATGACAAACACTTTAATGCGGCTAATGACAATCCCAAGCCTGGATATTTATGCAAATTGATGCTTGTCACAAGCTGTTGGACTGTTCTGGCAGTAGAAAGTTGAGTAGACCATCAACCAAACCAGCACCGTGTTTTCTTCATTTTATTTTAAAGTTAAGGAGTTAATGTAGAATATTTTATGATATTGCCTGCTTTTCAAGGTTGTTCAACTCAAGTTTCGACCTGATGAAAAAAGAATTTGACATTTCCTAATTTGATGTGTAGTTTTTTTTAAAAAATGTTTTCTTTTGTGGATGTTTCCCGTCTTTTTTGTTAATTTGGGATGTGTTTTTTTTTTTAATTCCTCAGCTTTATCGCAGGCTATGTTGTAAGGGACCATCACCAGTGAGGCCAAATTTTGCCATTTTATGTATTGGACTGGAAGGTGCTGGGAAAAGTTCAATACTAGCTACCCTTAGTGGAGATGACCTCCACAAAATTGAGCCTACTATAGGTAAGTTTCAATGAATAAGTTTGTGCATAAATGACATTTTACCATAATATCTACAAGGGTGTGTATGAACATGCAAAGGTTTTGATCTGGGTATTATTTTTTTTAAAAATTATTTTACAGAAACTTTGTGTTTTTAGCATAAACTCATGATTGTGATTGAATGGAAGATCTATGGTTTTATGAATTCTTGTTTTATTGTTTGACATGGCATGCTATTAGCATGCAAAATGCCTTATATACCTCTGTACGGGGGGATTATGGTGAGATCATGAAGGTACTCCGCTGAAAAGGCTGATCCATGGATACACTGAATAAAGCTGAGTCAGTACTGCTGTCTGTGGTTTCCGGTCCCCGAGTCAATGGTTCCCCATTTTACTTTTACCTGCTGCTGTTTTGTATCGTTTCCCCCATCACTTAACGTATGTGACCGTAGCTGTTTGAATGTGTTTCTCTACTTGAGTTTTTACTAAGATAAAACTCTATTTAATATATGTAAACCCCCCAGGGCGGTGTCACTGACTGAAGTGTCTTTAGGCCATTCCCAAAGGGGGGGGGGGGACTTTTCTCATTCTAATGCACAGTAGAATTGTAAATGGACTGATCCAACAATGTCATTCTCATAACTGTGCCTGAACGACAATAGGGAACTGCTGCTTTTTCTTTCCTAATCCTTACTATCGGGATTTTCCTCTACTTTTTTGTATGTTTGTCACACTCATGTGACCCGCTATTTCCGGGGTGCCTTGATAGTCGAAGCAGACCTTGTGCTGTTGAAGCTAGAGAGGTGAGCAGAGTAAGTCTGATTCCCTGTAAGGACTTTGCTGTTGACATCCACCCCTTGGCACTCATATGACCTTATGCAGTTGCGAGCGCTGTAAAACCTCTACTAAAACTAAAAACGAATATATATGTACGTTGTTTGTGTTTGGAGGGTGCTCTAGTGTGGTTTGTTCCTTCTTTCGTATCAAATATCTAATGCCTTTATCTCTCCATATTCTTTTCTTTGTGTGCTACTCTCTAATTTTCAGCACTTTTTTATACCTATTTGTGCTGCAGGTGTCATAAAACTCTTACTAAAACTAACACCAATCTGTAAGTTGTGACAGTTACAATATTCTCTCTGTATCTGATCGCTCAGTACAGCAAAATCTCTGCCTCTGTAGCAGCACAAAGAGTGTACTCATTAAATATAGCTGCTGTAAGCATGTAAGCTCTTCAGTGTGACATTACAAAAATAAACACTCTAACGTGAATTTGCTTTTGTAACAAGCCTCTTGATGTCATGATTATCCATTTTCCTACAGCTGTGGCTGAGCCAAATAGATAAAACACTTGAAAGCAGCTTTTCAGGTCACTCGCATCTAAAATGTTTACTTTATTTTGCATTATACCTCATTTGTCGTGTAGAGAATACCATAATTTTTACCTTGGTAAACGCCAAAGTGTACTTCAAGTGTGGCTCTCTCAGTAACTACCAATATTTAGAGGTTTCAGAATATCCAAAGAGGTAGGGGAAAATTGTCACCAAATTGCAGTATGCCAATTACTCAGAAACAGCTGAATCAAGCTAAGTCGAATCAAGCTAAGTCAAATCATTTCAAATCAAGAGATATAGAGGTACGTAAATTCACCAGAGACAAACATTTATTCAGGAAATATCCTTAAGATTTCAAATCATCAAATGGTTTACATTCAGAATAGCGCATATTTTTTAATCAGTTGTGTGTCGCCTTAATATGTTGTCCTTAAGTGTTTCAAGTGGCTGTGTGGATGTTTGTTCTGAGGCAGGGATTGTCGTTATGATTAGAAAAAAGAGAAATAGAGAGAATTGACAAGAAAGAAAGATCATGTAGGCCTACTGTATACAAAACCAAAGTCTGAGAATGTTGTGAATGTTCTCCTCTTTGTATAGTGCTATTGTAGAAAATGATTTGGATTAGATCTAAATGGCAGTAAGTTGATCAAACAGAGAATTTCTCCATCCAAATGTTGTGACAGGTTATGGTTTACATGAAGGTGGGAATGGGGTTTTTTGTATGTAGAGGCTACATCTGTGGGCAGCATACAAGTGTAAGAGAGCAACAAACAGCTCATGGTGTCCTCACTATGGGTGCAGGCCACTCCTGCATGCTCCATACATATCTTTTTCAGTGGTCCCAATGTCCCATCTGCTTTCATTTCAGAATAAACAATGGAAGCAAAGGGAAGTCTGTGTGCTTTTAAATTTAGAGCATGCTGGCGAAAGATATTTTAAAGTGAAAATAGCTTGTGAAAGCCACTTTCTTAATTTACAGACCGACTGTTTTAGGTTAATAGGAATACTAAGCCTGATGGATTTAAATAGGGTCCAGCGTGTTACTTAGTAAGAAAAATTGCCTCTATCATGAATTTTAGCTTAACAATTTGTTTCCTATGGACAACTTACTTCACTGGCAGATACATGATTATGAATAGTTTTATAAATATAATGCAATAATAAAAAGATTTTACCAAATGGAAATAGCAGAATCCCTAGAAATATAGACAGGATTGTTGCATTGTTTACAGTTTTGAGAAGTTAAAGTTTATCAACTCTATTGGAAAGGTGTTTTTTCTACTTCTTTAATTGCTTTTTTTTTTAGGGGGGGGGGGGGGGGGGGTTAATTTTCAATTCTTTTTGATAAATATGTTAATTAAAAAAAAATAATTTTCAAAGCAGTGTCAACATTTCGAAGTTACTAAAAAACATTTTTAGATTGTTTTTCTCAATATTTTTATTTCAAACATCAACATTTTTTTGGGGCGCTTTTGGCTACCTCAAATACGTTCATGAGTGAGCAGAAAGCAAACACCCTGGATAAGTTTCTTGCAAGTCATACACCAGAAAGGGCTTTGTGTTTTCCAGAAAGTTTTGAAGTAGAATCATATTTTTCACAAAGCACTTTCTTCTATCACTCGATGTATCCTGTGAATGTACATACATGTATATATTTGGTATACTAATAATAGCATTTGGAATAGATATATATGAAAATTATCGAAATATCCCAAATGACAGAGCCACTGAAGTCCTTTTAAGCAACAGTCGTGTTGGCAGGAAATGCAGATTTTTGTCAATTATTTCGAATGAGTGTATGGGTATTTAGAAGAACAAGTTCAATTTTCTTTTTCTGTTTTGGGAAGTTTGCATAAAACAGTGGCTCCTGTATTATTTTCTTTGTCTCTTACAGGATTCAGCATTAAGGCCATTTTGTTTGAGGACTGCATCTTGGATGTGAAAGAACTTGGTGGTATGTTGATGTTCCTTTTTCATTTCGCATGTTTTTTATTTACTTATTTTTTTTGTGGCACTTTTCTTTTTATAAAAATTTTTTTAACATTTGTGTATTAGAATTATTTCAACAGAAAGAGAATGAAACAAATGTGTAACGACATGGTGGAATCAGGCGCTCATTCATTTTTGGGCATGTGGAGCTATTGGTTTAATCTGAAAGCTTGTTCATTTGCCTTGCTTTTGATGGGAAAAAAAATACCCATCTAGATTATCTAAATAGAAGTCGAGATATTTATTGAAGAAGGTGGGGGTCACCTGGTTTCAGAGGTAAAGTGAATGAGAAAATAGCTGCCAAAGTTTAGTAACTTCAGTAGCTTGAGAGGCCTTGAAAAACTGAAAATTTACATATATTTTATGTGCCTTTGATCAATGTTTTTCAGTAAAAATTCACGTGGAATGTTTGTTTAACGGACAAAAAAGGCGTTGAGCCACTAAACGAAAATTTGATAAAAATTGCCAAAGTGGCGAAAGAGTGCCCGTTTCTTGGATTTCCTCATTTTGACAAGCACTTGATTTTACTACGATGCCTCACAAATGTTGAATGTTTGTGTATATGAATTATTACAACAGAAAAGAAAGAAATTATGTAATGTTTATCTTTTTTTTATAGGGGGCGACAAAGTTCGACCATATTGGGAAAGATACTTCCAGACTTTTCAAGGTATTATCTTCGTAATAGACAGCAGCTCAGAGGAAGGAAAACTGCAGACTGCCAAGACTGAATTGCACAACGCAGTCAAGCATCAACAACTCAAGTCTCTTCCATTGCTTGTTATTCTCACTGGACAAGATAAAGAAAATGCCCGCAGTGTTGAGGAGGTGAGTACTTTTTCCTGATTGTTCTGATCTATCTTTGATTTGGGAGATCAAGGCAGTGTTGGTTTATGTCATGCCTAGAATTTGAGTTCTGATTTTGTTTATGATGTGGAATCTTTTATCTTGTTAGTGAGTAATATTCTATCAGTTTTAATTGGCTTTGAAGCTTGCAAACCTGTACAGATTCTTTTTTTCTTTAAAAAAAATTTTTTTTTTTGGGGGGGGGGGTCTAAGCCTCCTGGAAGTTGCTTACTTGGGTGTCCTGACTAAACTATGTCCCCCTATGCCAAATGCACAAGATCCAGGCTAATTACCCATAGTGGGAACCATAAGCCGGGCTTACCTGGGTGTCAGAATCTAAGGTATTCATTTGTTGACGGCTTCATTACTCCGTTGCTCTTCAATTTTTTTTATTTTATTGTAGAATTTAACAATGTTATACTGATTTTCTTTAGTTTTTCACTGAGAATGTGTTTTTCATATTTTACCTATATTCTACACAGGTGTCACAGTTTCTAGAAGCAGATACAACATTTAGTGGTCGACAGTGGCTGATTCGTGGCTGTGTTGTCAGTAACAAGGAGACTTTGCTGGAAATCTTCTCACACTTTAACGAGATACTACAGAAAAATTTGGATGCAGAAATAGAGCAGAGGCAGAACTCTCCTCAGCATACGAATCGTTTATGATCAAGAGATTTTCTGTTGAAATAATTGATATGCTGATGATGGCAGTAGTCTGTCATGCATCAGACTTTAAGTGGCTGAAATTTGGATGAGGGCGGTTTCTTTCAAGCTCAGCCACGCAAATTACTGTCAGATTGGGGGAAGTTTGAAAAGTTTAATGAGTTCCTATTACATTGGAGTCTGGTCTTTAAGAAGAAAATGTACTCCCAAAATGTGGATCAAAATAATGTTATAATACGGCATAGATAGTTTTCTGATGTTAGATGATAGTTATCTTATTGTAATACCTTTTCAGATACATAAGGTTCCGTCTTTTTCTCTAGTTATCTTTGGAGTGGCATCACTCTATTCTTGATCTAGATTGCAGGGATGAAGAACCACGATATAAGTCTCAAGGGAAGAGACTGAATCACATCATGCAGGTTATCTTTCTGGTATGAGCAAATTAGTACTTTGCAAATATTCATGCAGTTCTTTTGTCTTGTGTTGATAGAGGAAAACAGCCTGATTGGTAGAATGGTATTTGGTGTTACACCATATCCAATAAGGCATTTTGTAACGTGTTTGTTGTGGCCGGTTAGATGTGATGAGAGCTCTATGACATGAGATGTTATATTCTATTACTCTTGTTTATATTTCAAAGCTTTATGTTCTGTAAGCACTAAAACATACATTTTGTTGTTAAAATATCTGAAAGATTGATTTGATGGTCATTGCCAGTGAAGTCTTCTTTGTTGCAACTGCTGAATCAGTATTCAATGACTGCTGGAAACTTATCATGGGAGACAAAAAGAGGGTACTTTCAATACCCAATCTGAAATGGAAAGAGCATGCTCTGGATACGTTCTTTCTGGATGTCATATTATCAACCCAAAGGAACGACAGGCATATGTTGTGTAATGGTTAATCTCTTCGCCGTTGCATGGAGAAGACGGAGCTCAATTCCTCCGTTGGGAAATCAGTTCTCAATCTGTTTGACTGGATGCTGTGTCTGGCTCTGTTTGAGTAGGTCCTGACAGTCCAGATTGAAGCAGACTGCTCTGTAAATTATCTGAACTGTGTCAGTTGGGGTTCACAAAACACTTACATTATTTGTAACATAATTCTGCTGAGAACAAGTTGTGCTTTGAGGATATTTTTTGCTTCCTCACCCTCAGTGACTGGATAATTTGAAGTTGGTTTAGCCATGCAGTGACAATATGTTTTCAAATTTCAAAATGAACGACATTCTGGTTTACGTTGATGAATAAATTAAGATGGGGAGGAGAGGGGTCGCACGCCTAGTCCTTGGGCAGCTTTTGATCAGGACCTTAATTTGCTCAGATAAGGATGGAAAACTAAAGCTCTTCCATAAACATTGCAATTGTTTAGGCTGATTGACTGTTGAAAGTCAAAGAAGAGCAGCCCTATCCTGGAAATATCTGAACTCAATGTTCCCCAAAACAGAAGAAAATCTTACCAGCATAAATTATGTGTGTAACATCAGCTGTGCTCTGGGAATAAAGAGTTGGCTTCCCCTGTACTATGAAGGAAGAAAATTGCAGCTGCTGCAGAAGTATAATTTATTTGAACTTTATAGGTAAGCCCTTATTGCAATGCCTTATTGATTGTTATTTGTTTACTTGCACATTTTGAACTTGTTAAAACTATCATGCTCTGTAGAAAGACCATGAACAGAAATTACTTGTGCATTTCACATGAATATTTTCATTATATGTTCTGTTGGAATATGCAGCTTTTGTATCCTGTATCACAGCGAGAGGCAAGGAAATGATACCTCTCAAATGTTATGGAGAGGAAAAATGATTGTTTCTGAAGTTTCTCTTCCTTCTTAAACTATGCAGCTTTGTTATGTACTCCGTGTGTCATTTCTGTATGGTTGTCAATTGAAATTCTTGAAGAAGTAATGTTTAAATGTTGTGTTGAATGTAATTAAACTCTGTAGAGTGATGCTTCTATCATTTGTTACTTCTCAGATATAATGCGTTTAAAGAAATGTAGGATGAAAGGCAGAATGTTGCTTGTATATTATTCTAGTATTCCCTGTACTTGTCCATGGCTGTTCAGAATTTACAGTGGATCAATATTAACTTGTGCACATGTCATTGGAGAATACAAATTATGTGAGCTGACATCTTCCCCCCCCCCCCCCCCCTTTTTTTTTGTTTGTTTGTTTAATTTGTTTCCCACAGCACTGAAATATTGATGACTTAAAAAAAATTTCTCGTGAAGAGGGGGTTGAAAGAAGTAAACTTGATGCTGGAGATTTAGCTTAGATGTCCTGTTTTGTAATCCCAAGCCGAGTGTGAAGTCCCAGGCAAAAGACGGAATGAGCTCTTAGCCTATGTCTCCTTATGCGTGACGTGACGTCATGTCGTGCTTGGCATTCGCTAGCGATGAGTCGCGAGGTGTTTCTGACAAGTCAGAGTTGTTGATGTTCCACAATTTTCCAAATGTTGCATTTGCTAGTTTCAGCTGTTGAATTTATTGGGTGGGATTTTTTGTTTTAAGATGAGATTTTTTTGTCTGTTTGTTCACGGTATTATATGAAAACTACGCCATTTAGTTTTATAGGAAAGTTCATCAGTTGTCTTTGAAGCTGGTCACAAGGTTGGTTGTTTTTATTATTTGGAGGGGGGGGGGGGGTTGTTTTTTTTTACCCTCAATTCACTTATGACTTTTAAAGATTTTATAGTGTAGGCCAAACAAAAATGCTGTTTAGTAAGGTTCTAATTGTTTCTGAATTTTTTGGCCTGTTTCTAGAGACAGCCTTTTTTCACCATTTTACTGAAACTGTCTTTTATGTAAGGGTTAAGTTAAAGAGTAAACCGCCTGCCACACACACTTTTACCACTTTTTAAAGTAGATTTTAAGAATCAGAATAGTGAGAAAAATGTACTTGAAGCTGCGGCTATGTTCATCAGCTGAATCTTGTGTGTTAATGGAGATGTAAGCAACATTTTGCTTTTTAAAAGAAATCTGTAATAAGTTAGTTTGTTGTTTCCTCTTTTTGTTTAGTTTGATTCAGTTAGCTCCAGAAATGCTGTCTGCATATATTGCATAGCTCTATTCGTTTTTCTTTTATGGTTTTTAAGTAATACCGGTATTAAATATTTTGATTTCTTGGGTCTGGTCCTGAAGCACAGTATTATTTAAAAAATCGACCTATCTACGGGTGACCTGATCTGATAGTCGTAAAAACATGAGATGTCTTTTACAGTAAAATCGTTTTTTAATTTTCTACATGACATTCCAATAGAGGTTTCAGTAGCTGAAATTATTTTGTTGCTCAATTGCTGTTTCATATGTATCCCAATGCGGTAGAATCAGGCGCTCGTCAATTTTGGGGCATATGGAGTTATTGGTATCCTCTTAAAGTCTGTCCATTTGCCTTGCTTTTAATGAACAAAATATCCATTTATCTTGGATACAAGTCAAGGAATTGGCGATTGAGGAGGTGGGGGCCACCTGGTTTCAGAGGTCAAATTAGTGACAATATGGCCGCCAAAGTTGAGTTTATTTCCTTAGCTTGAGAGTCTGTGGAAACAAAAATGTACATCTTTTACGCCTTTAATCAACATTTTTCAGTACAATCCACACAGAAATGTGCTCTTTAAAGGGCATAAAAGGTGTTGAGCCAAAAAACATAAATTCGATAAAAATTCACAGATCTACGGAAAAATGCCATTTCCTTTTCTTTCATTATTTTGCCGAGTGCCTGATTTCACCATGCTGCCTCACATATATTTTGTATTTCTGCTTACTACTTCAGAACTAGATTAAGTTTAGTGCAATTCTCATTTCAGGAATTTGCGTCATAAAAGTGAAGATGAACAATATATTTGTTGCTTTCAGAGCTGTAGTTTTATTTGGTGGACTTTTTAGGATAGTTATTAATTAGTGCAAGCAAAAACTTAATCTTCGTTGAGGCAGATAGAGAATATTGATATTCGGGGCAACTGCACCAAGATTTTTGTTTTGCTCTACTATGATGAAAGATTGAATTTGAACCCTGAGAAATAGTCTTACTGTTTCTCTTCATGTAGCCTTGAGTTTCTTTTATTGTTATTATTGTTTGTTTTGGCTGGGATGGAGATTTCCATGTCTTTTCTTTTAATGTTATGACACCTCTTCTTACAGAAAATTCGTCTGATCTAATGGCACTGGTACTAAGATCTTTCTAGATACGTCAACACTCTTATAGGAAAGGTACTTTTGGCCTCTGGGTTGATGTGTAGCTGGTTTCTTTTTGTTTACTTTTTATCTTGTGTGTATAAAATGTATTCATGAACATTGCAGGACTATTTAGGATTGGGGGGGGGGTTTTTGGTGAACATATCTTGGGAAGGGCCTTTACTATTGAGTGTCCAGTCTTTCTTCATACCTATTCACGTCCAAATTTAAAAAAAAAAGAGAAGAACCTTTTAAGGAGAGCCGCCAAGAACAGAAGAAAAATGTTTGGTAAGGCACAGGGAAAGGATAAAGATTCCTCAACAGTACCATACTTTATTGATCTCAAGAAATTGGTTCTGGTCATGGACTGCTATAACTGATACTTTATAGTACATACAATCTCTTTTACTCTCTTCAATGACAAACCGTTCTATTGATCTCGAAAAATTCATGCTGGACATGAACAGCTGTAATTGATAAAGAACTATACTTCTTTTCATGCCCCCAGCCTTGGCCCTTCCTGGTGTTTTCAAGATCTTTTAATTTCTGAGTATCCAGAACAGAAAAGTGCTCTCCTGATGAAGTACAGTCGAACCTGCCTTAACGAAACATGTCATAACGGAATCTCCCCACTCCCCCTTCAGTCGATTCCTCTATACCATAATACACCTGCCTAAGACAGAAACTTGCTCAACCCAGAAATAGAAACAGATATTCCTTCCCCTCGAAGGGTTTTGACTTGTCCAAGACGGAAATTGCTTTATCAGCTCAGCCAGGATTTGAGACAAAACTTCCCCAAGTTTTGTTCTATTTGCTTTATGCCACACCAACTGGCATGGAAGTGAGTTTAGGGATAGCTGTTACCCCATCCATGTAAGTGGTGCGAATGGTCAGGGTGGTGTGTGTGAATCTCACCACTGCTTGTGAAAGTGCCCAAGTGGCGCTCCAGCACGGAAACTCTTCTCTGTAGCGAGAGGTATGAAATAAATTTTAAACAGCTGTTTGCCACCCTGATCGTTTGTAGAGAAAAAAGTTCCTTGAATAGTTGTTAAATCCAAGGTCAGAGTAGCATTGGTTGATTGTGCTTATTACTTGCATCGATGAGTGGGGTTACGGGTGAAAAGAAAGGAGGCGTGCAATGGTTTCTTTTTTTTTTTATTTGTTTTTTTTATTGATCAGTGGTCCTATGAGATGCAAGCACTGGTGGCATTTTATTTTGAAAAACAGAGAATATCACTTTGGAGAATTTGATTTTGTCACCACTGCCTGCCAAGTGGACAGGTGACCCTTGTTCCCATCGTGTACAGGCTGACCCTCTGGATGCTCCCACCCCTTCGTTCCCTAGTCCACAACAGAGAAAATATTTTGAGACCTAACAAAATTTTTTCCTGGCTCATTTGTGATTTCGTCTTGGACAGGTCTGACTGTATTATATTATTTGGCTCAGTGTGAGGTTTGTTTTTGTTTGTTTTTTTTTGCTTTTCAATTATAAGTAAATGTTGTGTAAATAATCTTGTTGGTATATATTTCCCTTTTACTTTTAGTTTGAATGATCTGAATGAACTTAACAAGTTTCGACATCATCATCTTGTCATATGTGATATATTTTTTATATATACATGTTCTTTGGAATCATTTTGTGTATAACTTTCAAGTATGAAAGTCAGTCTGTCTCTCTCTGTCACTCTCTATCTCTCTCTCTCTTTCTCTGCTTTATATTATGCACACATTCTTAAAGTGTCTTGTATATATATATATATATATAAAACAAAGTTTTTATTTTGCAACTGTTTAAAAGTGAATTTCCAAGAAAATTTACATATTGGTATATATTATATACATTTATGTGTGTATAATTTTTTTTTATCAAATTATAGGTTCTCAGGATATTGTGGGCAAAGGGAACAGTCTTTTCAATGTATGTTTAGGACAGAAGAAATAATGTCTCGATCGTATATATATATATATATCTCTTCAAGAACACACATGTACATGATTCTCTTTTGCAAACTTTATATACAGTACTGTATACACATATATAATTTCAATTACTAGCATGATCATTTCCCTTTGCTTTTCCCCCCCTCAAGACACAGACTGCAGTTTTGAGGGTTCGATCAGACAAAATTTATTATTGTCGCTTAAAAGCGCAAGCGTCTATATTTACATAATATCAGATTTCAACAAGTCTACATGCTGCAGTTTCCAAGTTGTGTGAGTCTTCATTCTATTTTCTGTAGTTAAAGAAACTACAATAGTGGTAATGTTTTGTTGTCTTTTCTTGGTACAAAATTACCAGTAGCATTGCAAAGTAAAGTAAACTTTGCATTTGATAAAAGTTGCTGAACTCGAGTCAAAGAGATTCTTACTCACACAAACACTTTTTATTAGAACTTGGAGACTCTCTCACACACAAAAAAAACATTTGCTGTACTCTTTCTAATGATGTATTTCATCCCCTGTTTAAGGATTTTTGGGACTGAAGTCCTAGTGTGGTGGTTGATACGTAATACTTTGCCTCTATGAAAACTGATGAGTCAATTTTGATTTTGATGAAATTTTTAGGTCAAACCAAATGAGATCATATAAATCCTTTGACTGAATTCTTCATTTATATATTTAATGTAACTTTTTTCCCCCTCTGGATATAGATCTTGTCTCATTTTGAACTGGTATAATTCTGAGGCCCTCTACATTGAAAGAGTATGTGACGATTCACATATGGGAATGTTGTCTTATCCAATTCTTATCCTTGATTATTCAACTTGTATAATAGGGGGCAAAAACTATTTACTGCACCTTCTTATTTCAT